AAAAAAAAAAAATGGGGCATTATAAATGAGAGCAAATTTCTTTTTGCTCTCACTGTAGAATGAACTTGGTGTGTTTACTTCTTAGTTCTGTTGACTATAATTCAAAGACACGTAGCATCTCTGGTTTTGGGAATCTTTCCTTGTCTTTAAGCATTGGAATGTGTGAGCTTTCTCTCCATCTCAGGGTAGCCAAAAAGCCAGACTAGAGAAATGCGCAATTGACACCTTTGTTAACTTAAAATATATCTTTATTTTCTGCAGCATTTCTCATTAAAATTTCAACATAGAATTCAGTAATATGAGAGGGGGCTCGTAGATAATAGGAGGCCAAAAGAATAGCTGAGGGGTATATGCAAGGAGGAGAAAAACATATTTTCAGTGGCTGTTCGAAAGAAGATAGCATCTTCTTTCTGGAATTCTGTGCCAGGGAGAAAGAAGGCAAAGTTCTTGCATGTACAGAAATCAAATACTGCAGAAAGACAAAAAGAGCTGCAAAGATGGGCACAGCAGCTATTTCTGGTCTGGTACAAAATTCCTRCATGAAAAAGTTAAGCTGGGCTTTGGAGCCACATCTGTCCAAGGCAGAATATTGTTCTGCACAGATTAAGTGGTCTAGGTCTTAACAAACCCAGCAATCAAATTAATTAACACTGGTGAACCACTGAACCAACAAACCTTTGCTCTTCCCAGGCAGAAATAAGTATCTTTACATGCTGTGCCATGCAGATATAGGTACACTTAGAGCTAGCTGGAGTATCAATACATAGTGCTGTCTTAGTGAAGCAAAGTAAACAACCCAGTGACTTAAAATCCCCATTTTGAACCATATCTGTTTTTCCTTATAAATGAAAGAATCTCAGAGCTGGCAGTTGAGGAGAAATATTGAGAACAGCAAAGGGAWGAAAACTGCTTTTCTCAGTAGAGAGAGGAGTGGTGTAAAACATGGGAATATGAATGAAAGACCTAAAAATATTTTGTGTTTTTCATAAAGCTTTGGTTTCGGGCCATGAAATTAAATAAGCAACTTAGTTTTCTGAGACCAAAAAAAAAAAAAAAACAGATGAGTTTAAAACCATTATAAGCTCTTGGACAAAACTGTATATTAAAAGTTAAAGCAAAAGGGGAGGCAAATAAAACTAATTTTTAAAAAAATCTTCTAACACTTACACATACACTAATTTACAGGCCTCTGAAAATTTGCACTGGCTGTGGGATTGGACTGTTCAGGTTAAGAGCAGAGCCCAGAGAGAGTCATCTGGGAAACAGACTATGATAGGAAACTCKTAGATAGGAAAAGTTTAAATCAAGCACAGGAAAAAAGCCCCCAAAGGAATTTGGGAACTGCAATCAGGATTAGCTCCCAGCAGCCTCCCACAACACTCTCGAGGGGCTTTGAGGAAGGAACCTGGGGCAAAACACCATGCTTCTTCATGTCTCWGATGGCTTAACACAAGCTCTGGATAGCCCCTGAGAAGAAGGAGGGAAAAGGACTGGGAATTGCCATAACCCAGAGAAAAATAGGCCATGGAGAGTGAAAAGTTTTTCTCCTTTCCATACACRCACATACACAAGGGGGTCTTTTAATTTTTTTTTTTTCCAAAAAAACAATATTTTAGTTCTCAGAAGAAGGAAACTCTTGCCCAAAGGGAAAAATAAATACGGTGCTGGCCACAACCAATGTCAGAGACGTAAGCAAATATCTCACAGGCTGAATCAAGACAAAGGGAGGCAATTTTGACCTGAATCCTGGAGCAAATCCTAGAGCAGGAGGTCAGCATCTTTCACCACTTTCAGCTTTACAAACAACTTTTCAAAGGATGCTTCTTTCTTGTTTCCTGGGCCTTTTCTTGGTTCCCTCCATTACTGTCTGTGCCAGTAAGAGTGCACACAAATAATTTTTTTCCTTTCTCCCAGTTCCAATTTTTCCTGCATCCTAAAGCATGCATCCACTAGGCAAGGAGGCAGGTGTCTTGCTGGAAACAGCACAGATGAAGAGGAGGGCACTTTTTTTCACTGCTTTCAAAATTCCATGTTTAGTGCAGCAACCACATGCTCACCCAWAGGAGCCACAGCCCCTGGTCAGCAATTTCAGCTTGGAGCAGAGGTACTGGGTGTTGTCTGGTTTTTGGGAGATGCCAAGAGCATCCATAAGAGAATAGCAGAGCATGACCATGGCTTGGGCAGCAAAACAGGGCACTGGACAGGGAGCAAACTGCTTTGCTCTCAACTCCTGAACATGGTTTTGGACACAAACTTCCCAGCTGGGAGGAGAGAGCTACTCTTAACTCCACTCTGCACCCACCACAAGCAATGCCAAAGGTGTCCCCAAGCAGGGACTTGGACAGCAGGGAGGCCCCAAGATTGCCCTCAAAGCCTTCTCAGAGGGCAATGGAAGTCTCAAAGTGGAACAGCACAAGCACATTCTTCAGAGTTTCACTGATAGGGATACTGCTTGAGTCAAAAGGAATCACTAATACTGTAATTCAGAATTACATAAATATTTACCAACTAAGGAAAGGAAATATAAATCAACAGCAAAATGCCCTATATGCGGAGCTTCAATTCCAGATACTGAGTATAAACCAAAAGCAACATCAGTTTGTGCAGAGGTCAGAAATTAAAACCAGAGAAAAAACCCTGTGTAGTAGTTGCTTTTAAAAGCCAGACTATAGTAACTTAACATTTCAATAATCCTTATCAGCAATAATGCTAACAATCACAGTATYACCCCACACCAAACTGTCCCACTTACAGACAATATAACAATTAGCAAGCATTTGTGACAACAGGAGTGTTTTAGACTTTGACAAATTCTTTCATATGCAGCACTGTTTTCCAGAATCACAACTCTCTCTGATCTAACTGGACATTAATTGCTTTTTTGCTGATGTATCTGTGCCTTCTGGACTGATAACACAACTAGCAAATCTGATATCTGACAAGTTGACTCAACCTAATCAGGACAGATCAGCTGCTACCAACGTTGCTATAGGCTGTAATTTGAGGACCTTTATAGAGTTATCACTTGCTTTGAAAGGCAAGAAACTGTAATTCTGTCAACACTAATCCCAGAACGTGCATTCAAAGTGGTTGTTAWTTTTTGTCCAGAAGAAGGTAACACTTGTCAAATAAATACCTGAGATAATTGATAATAGGAATTAGAGGTATGTGAGTGATGCACTGACAATCAGTCACTCTCATGAAAARGAACCTCACAAGATTCAGAACATTAAGTAGAGAGCACAGTCTGGCACCATGAAGCAGGGGTCACTCTGAACRGAGTGAAACAATTGGCAATGCACTTTTTCAATGTTTACTTCTCTGTTGCTTAGTGCTAAAGCTAAGTGAATTATTCACATCAAACAACTTGTTCGATGAATTTTATCCCTTTTTGTTGCTCAGCGTGGGCAGGCAATGGATACCAWTGCCATTAGATTTATTCACTGCTTCATTTCCATTCAAGCTTTCATTGAGATTGAGAGTATTCCAGGTCCTTAAAGAGTACAAGCAGGATAGATCCACAAAGCTGATGGAATAACACTTATCTACATCGGCAATATATTTTCTAATTTGTTATTCTCATCTCTCTTTAAATTTGGAAGCCTTTCCAGCAACAATATTGATATTTGCTGCGAAGTTCACTTTCTATGGACAATTTGCCCACAACACTCAACACTTAAATTTTTGCAGAAAATAAATTACCAAATAGCGCAAGCACCGCCACAAAGCACATTAATTAAAARAAATCAAAGATAGCATTTTATTATTTGCTTCACTCCAATAGGAAATAATTTCTTTTCATGTAATAAAATTCAAAGGAATTACATAAAAAAATGTATTCCCAATTCACGGAATTCCTTAATGTAACCTAATAGTTACTGAATATACACAAGTGACTTTGTCATTGCCAGGGCTGCATCTGTCTTGTACAGATAAACTGTTCTTAGAAACTCAGACTTTACATTAGAACAAAAAATAYACATTTCTTACTGTATCGCTTTGGTCCATCTTCCAAACAAAATGAAAGTGTTAAGGTTGCATCATCTTCAAAAAATTCAGTTGCAAAGGCATCCCACCAGAGGTTGTCACTATCCTAGGAAGCAACAGATCATTCACTTAACAGGAGGCAAAATGAAAATATGTTCATCTGTTGTAAAAGAAATTCAACAGGATCACACCTAGTCTGGCTTCTTCACCTATGGTTTTGGGGTGCAGATGTCTATATGATATTTCAAATGATATTTTCCTAGATAAAGTTCTAGTTCTAATTTTGGAAAAAAAAACCAAAAAACTGTAGTGTTTAATTTGCTGTAAAATAAACTATCTTTCATTTTATCAAGCATACTAAATATGTAAAAAATTTCTTTTCCATAAAGGTTTCTTTTTTCAAATGTTAGATATGGTTTTATAAATCAGTTGRAAATAAAACAATTATGTCTTTTCCCTCCTTTTCTGGGCTGTGTGTCTCAAATGCTTGGTCCTGGTGATGCAAAAACCTTCAGTAAGTAATTCTAGAGTGCTACATAACCTCATCATCATCATGAGATGACAAGAAAGTTATTTAGAAACTAAATATAATGGCCATTCCACTCCAATATATTTAATATAAATACAATGCAACTGCAGGTTGATTAAGTACTGGCTTAAATGTAATTGTTGTAAGAAATCTTTACTTTTAAGTGTGATACAAGAAGTGAAAAAAATTTGTTAAGATGACTTGTGTATACTTAGGCGTACAGTACTACACATACCTGGAACATGGCAATTATTAAAATAGTGAACAATGTAAAATATATATCAACACAGCACTGCAGGCAGTTTCTTTACTTTAACAATTGAACCAGACACTTTCAGACCTAGATGATCACCAACAAGCACCCAAACYTCAGTGTCTAGCACCTGAGCAAGTAGTCCAGCTGGCAAGGGTTTTTTCACAGAAGTTGGCTAACACAAAACCCACCAAATGTTTCATTTAAAAGCTGTGGATATATTTAATAGCTGGATTTGAAAGTTTCGGTAGAGTCTCTTCAGCTCCTTTGAGGTCCTGAGATTTAAATCACTTGTAGCACACAGGGTCAGTAACAAAACTGGAAATACACTTCTGAAATGCCCCAGCTGCACTTCTCAGAGTCACCCTGTCCCACTCACAGCACCTTCCTYTCCAGTGTGCAAGGCCAGGTTCACTCAGTGCATGGAACACTAAGCACCCCTAAATGCCTGTGCAATACAGATCTAAGCCAGAAAACATTTATTCATTTCACAGAAAAGAAAACCTGATACAAAACACCAATTTCAATGAAAATATGCATCTATCATACTCACTATGTACACATGCAGAACAATCTGGGGATTTTATTTCTGCTGCTATGTTTCCTGATGATGTTACTTTTGGATTTCACYCCAAAATGTTGAGCAAGGTATCCTTCCTGCCTCTCAATTTCACTTTGATTTTTGTCAAGCATCCAATGGAGAAATGGTAAGGACAGGTTTTAACAATCTGGTTCCCACCAGAGACCCTATAGAGACTTCTTGTCTGAGTCAGAGCCTGTAATCCACTTTCCTTGCCAAAGCTCATCCCACCTGGCAGTGACAGGACCATACAGCCCTGCGGTTCAGTCACACCAGGAGGTATCAAAGCTGTCCCCATGTCTTAGAAATCTGTCACAGAGAGTTMTTGCTCTTTCCTGGTGTAAATCTGATGAGTGTTACCATGTGCAACCACTGCTGTGTTGAGTAGCCAAGTAGCCACAACAGCAAGAGCACRAAATATACAGCAGTAAATGTGGACCACAGGTGTTCAACACAGCTCTGCACGGGACCCTTCACTCAGCACAGCCTGCTGGGCTGCACTACAAGAGTGCAATGTTCAAAAAGTGGCTGTSAGCTACCACCCTGCCATCTGGCAAAGGAGAGGCTGCGGTACCATCTAATTGTAACCTTCTGGACACACATAGGGCAGGAGGACCGGAGGGAAGGATTTTAACAATGCCACAGAGCACATTTTTGCAGTTCTTATTAATGCAGGAGTTGGGTATTGCTGGAGCTTCCCATGCAGGATCCAATGAAACAGAACAAAAAGGAGAGCATCACATAGCCGGGTTTAATTGCACATGGGAAAGATGGAGAAGAGCTGGGAAAGTGCAGGGCCTCACCTCAGAACCACACATATTTGCACTCACACCGGCTTCCAAGAAGTCTTGAAAGCAAGGAAATTGTGGAAATTGAATTACAGTGGATTCCCTCTGTGRTTAGATGAAACATCCAGACTCTCTCACAGTTTGAATACAGTCCAAGGTCTTTATCTTAAGATTTTGCATATTTTATGTCAGGAAGAAGGAAAAACATAAAATGCAACACCCCACCCCCAGAAAGAAAATCTGACCGTAAAAGAGTATATAAATCCTGTCAGGCTTGGATATGCTCGGCTGATTAATTTTCTGCCCCACCCGTGCCACAGGTGGGCTCACTTACTCTCAAAGCCAAATGTGAACAAAACCAAATGAGCTGTCCCCAACCAAACTGGAATTGGAATCAGTTATTAAAAAAAAAAAAAGTACTTTTTTTCTTTTTTCTTTTTTTTTCCCCAAAAAGGGGATGGTGAAGGCAAGGCTGCCCTCAGGCATCTTTAACTTATGCTTTGACAGGTTACGGGGGATTTTGCCAGAGTAATTATTTTTCTATTCAACAATAATGAGAAATTACCATGGCAACCTCCCTTTCACGTAGTGCACTCACATGCTCAAACATTGAAATAATGGCCTAAACATAACMAAAAAAAATTAATTCTTTAAAAATATTTTGTATTAAAATAAACTTAAGGAATAGGTCACAGGAGAGAAGAGGGCAGAGACAGCCAGCAAGCTGGGTCAGAAGCKAAGATTCCATGCTGCTGTGGCCAGCTACCCAAGCAGCAAAACGTCTTCTTCCACAACTGTCATTGTTCCCTCTGATCCCCTCCACCCCTGGTATTATTTGCAGTTTGAAGCATGGCTCAACTCTGAATAGGGTCTCCAAGTAAATGGAATCCTACGGTTTCAATATTTTTTCCTGACTCTGATTTCTTTGGCAAAGGTGATCAGATTTTAAGTACAATGATGTTCTTTTTCCCCCTCCATCTAAAAGTCCYGTATGTTCACTATGTGATTTGAGAGTCAAGCTGGGTTCTTCTTTACACCTTACACACTTACATGATTAAGAGTCTGCAAGCTAAATGAGACTTTTCTATTTGCTGTGATAGATCTTGCAACTGGAATATGAGGCCAACTGAGACTATGGAATTTTCTCCAAATTCCTTTATGTTTGTTTAATGACTTGGAAGGCAAAATGGACTGATGCAAAAAGTCAGTACATGAAATCATACTTAAAAGGATGCAGATATCTTGCAGGATAGAACTGGAATTCAAAATTATTTTGATAGATTGGAGAAAGTATCTGAAATGAAGATGGAATTCAATAAAATGAAGTGACAAAAGCACAAAACAAAATGGAGAATAACCAGCAGTACTATACAAAATGGTCCAGATCATCAAGGAAATTTGTGAGCAATCAATTGCTCTTGGAAATAACAGAAATGTCTCAGATACAATACCCTTCCACTCCAGCAAACACATCTCTGTAAAGACTTCAACTGGAATAGTCAGTCCACTTCTGGAGCACTGTGGCCAAGTCTGGGCCACCCACTTTTAAAGGATTTAGCTGGGAAYCGCAAGAATCAGACACACATGCCAACAAACCAACCAAACACAAAAGATCAAAGGAAGAAAGGCAGGAGTATCTAGCTGTGTTTTGTATAAGACAGAAGAAGCTCACAGGGAACAYGATGACAAACCTCAACAATATGAAAAGATTGCTATAAGAGGAGCAAACACTTGTCCGTGGTGGCTAACAAGGATAGAAGAAGTAATAACTGTTTCCGTTTGCTGCCACTGTGGGTTAAGTGGTTTAATGCCCTGTTACACATTTCTAGGCTAGTGGTTTGCAGAGGGGAAAGAGCTGCAGAGCACAACTGCTGTGTTCCCAGGAAGAGTGGATGTAGAGATCCTGCTGCCCAAGAGCCTCTGGCACAGCCATCCCTGCACAGCAGCTCCACAGCTCATGCCCAGTGAGAAGCTGATTTTTGGTTTCTCCCTCACATTGCTTTTGGCTGCACATGTGTAACAGGTGTAAATAGGATATTAAAACAGWGTTATGGAAACAAATAAATATGATTCTGAATACACACAGGAAACACATCTGTTCTGAAGTCAGACTTTTTTTTAAAAATCACTTTTAAAGGAAAAAATTAATTTTAAACTTCAACCTTGGCTTTGGAAAAAAAAAAAAAAAAAAAAAAAAAAAAAAAGAGAGAGTGTGCTTGAGAGCTTGCATTTTTCTTCTGGCACTTGTAACCCTTCCCCATTGTCACTTTCTATTTTCAGAACTCTATACATCTACAGTCCTATTGGCAACAGATATATGTCTCATATTCTTTTAAGTTAATGTTGCACAAAGAACTGCTGTCTYCCCAAGGAAAGAATGGCATTCCTTCCCTCCTCCTGTTCCCAGCAAATTAAACTACACTTGAGCTTTCAAAATGCAGTTCAAGGTAAGATTTTGCCATTAAATACACCTGTAAAAACTCCACAGCSATTACAAATTACAGAACTCACAAGTATCAAAATTTGACATTAAAGTTTATATTCAAAATACACAGACAAACCATGAAAAATAAAATGTCCAAACACAAGAAACTAGTAATTTTCCCCATGAATTTTAAATTAGACCCATGCTGTCACTACCTAATGTATTTAAGATTCTGATACAAATTTCATGTGAGTAACAAATTAATTATAGATCAACAGATCTATATATCTTAATTTTATACATTTGGAAATTTGAGTACTCATCTGTAGATCTGGCCCTGAAAAGCACAATGGTTTTATAATATAGAAATGGTTTTTTTTGCTATTTGTGTACATTCAGTATGGACCACAGACACTATGAGCCCTAGACTGGTTTTCCTGGAAACAGTGTAAACAGAGTGAAAGAGTGGAATGCTCATACGGATATAGGTGGGAAACCCACACAGTCTGTCTGTTATACAGGAAGATATAT